TGTGCACGTTGCAGTGAGCTAAGATCGTGCCCCTGCACTCCAGCCTGGGCAGCAGAGCAAGAGTCTGTATAAAAACTAAATAAGGCCGGGCGCGGTGGCTCAAGCCTGTAATCCCAGCACTTTGGGAGGCCGAGGTGGGTGGATCACGAGGTCAAGAGATCGAGACCATCCTGGTCAACATGGTGAAACCCCGTCTCTACTAAAAAAATACAAAAAATTAGCTGGGCATGGTGGCACGTGCCTGTAATCCCAGCTACTAAGGAGGCTGAGGCAGGAGAATTGCCTGAACCCGGGAGGCAGAAGTTGCGGTGAGCCAAGATCGCGCCATTGCACTCCAGCCTGGGTAACAAAAGTGAAACTCCGTCTCAAAAAAAAAAAAAAAAAAAAAACTAAATAAATAAAGTTAAATATACTAGTATCTATTACGATGGTAGCAACTACAGTTTTTGAAGTATTAGATGCTAGGCACAGAGACAGGTGCTTGATGTACATTATGTCTGTCATTATACAAGCCTCAGTTGCCTTCTAGTTTTTTAAGTGATAAAGACTACACTGGGTAGAGTGCTTGATTTTGTGTAGTATGTTTTAAAAAAGAAATGCCTTTGATTTTTTATTTCATTTTATTTTTATTAAGCACTACATAACACACTGCATGCTACATAATATACTGTATAATCTTCTAGCAGGGGTAGATGACCATAACTGAGTTATTTTTTCATCAATCAGGAAAATGCTTCTTTAATCAATGTTCTCCAAACCCTGAAAAACAGTTTAAAAAGGAGAATGTGAGAAGTCTGTTCCTAACAAAGACATGTCATATACTTTTACTTCATGTCACCAAATGGCATTCTCTTATTAAAAAGTGCTTCCACATCCCACATTTCTTTAACTGCAACAATACACTGGATTAAATTTTATAATCACTAAAGAATAACCTGTAATGATGTCTAGTTTTCATTTTCTGACAGCAGCAAACATACTGCTTTATAGGAAAACAAAAATCTTCTCCCACCCCCAATCAGAACTAAAGTCACACAACTCTACCACCTGGATCCTTTTTTTTTTTTGAGATGGAATCTCGCTCCCATCACGCAGGCTGGAGTGCAGTGGCACGATCTCCACTCACTGCATACTCCACTTCCCAGGTTCAAGTGATTCTCCTTCCTCAGCCTCCTGAGTAGCTGGGATCACAGGCATGCGCCACCACACCCAACTAATTTTTGTATTTTTAGTAGAGACGGGGTTTTGCCATGTTGGCCAGGGTAGTCTTGAACTCCTGTCCTCAGGTGATCCACTAGCCTCGGCCTCACAAAGTGCTAGGGTTACAGGCATGAGCCACCGTGCCCAGCCTCCACGTGGATCCTTTTACAAAGCACCTCAGTGAGTCAGAGGACAAAAAGGTAAAATCTGTTTTAAAAAATGACAGCCAACAGATACTATTATCCTCATTCCACTTTTTTACAAATGAGGAGATGGAGGCTCAGAGAGGTTAAAAGTCACCTGCTTAAGTCCATAAGGAATTAGCAGAGCCAGAATTCAAGTCCAGGGACCCCAAATCCAGAACCCTTCTCCGACAAGCACTACACTATTTATTCAAAATACCTACTGGATCTTACTGAATTGACAACCAAATACTTCAGAAGCTGTAAGTTAAAAGATTAATCATTGGTGACACTTCTTCTAAGTATTAAATAACATAGTCCAGGTATTTGGTTTACTATTACATGAAGAACTGCCTTAAGATAAATTAAAACTGCAACTTCCTTGAAGCTGTCTCTTAGAAATCCTAATTCTGTCTCACATGCCAGGTGATTCTGATGGCTATTCTTGAAAATATGGCTCCAGATAAGATTATCTATTATCATGTTCATTAGATTAGATTTTCAACTACCCCTCCACTGAGAGGTATATCACCCAGGTTGAGTCCCTGTAATATTATTTAATCACTCTGACCCTTGTCTATAAAATGGAAATACTATTTACTTAGGTTTGTTGGGAGGAATAAATGAGCAAGGAGAAAATATTAAAAAGTAAACATTTTTAAAAGAATTATGATAATGAACTACTCCTACAAAATATTAAAATATACTATTAGGGCCAGGCGCAGGGGCTCACACCCGTAATCCTAACACTTTGGGAGGTCAAGGCAGGTGGCTCACTTGAGGTCAGGAGTTAAGAGACCAGCGTGTACAACATGGTGAAACTCCATCTCTACCAAAATATTTAAAAAAAAATTTAGCTGGGCATGGTGGTGGGTGCCTGTAATCCCAGCTACTCAGGAGACTGAGGCAGAAGAATCGTTTGAACCTGGGAGGCAGAGGTTGCAGTGAGCCAAGAGTGCACTACTGCACTCCAGCCTGGGTGACAGAGTGAGACCATGTCTCAAAAAAAAACCCCCAAAACAAAAAAACCCAAAAAACATACTATTAGGTTGAGCCTTATGAAAATGCTACTGCTTGGCCATTTCTGACCTACAAAACTGGCAATGTCATAATTGAATCAAATATAAAATTATAGTAATTATTTAAATGAGGTATTGTTGCAGGAATAGACAGACCTATAGAGTACAGAAAAGCACCTCTGTGAAACAGGCCCATGTGTACATGGAAATTTAGTTTACTAGAATGGTATTACAAATAAAGATGAACTGGGTGTTTGGTGGTAGTTTTGTTTGTTTGTTTGTTTTCTGAGATAGGCTCTCATTCTCTCACCCGGGCTGGAGTGCAGTGGTGTGATCCTAGCTCACTGCAGCACCAAACCCCGGCGTTCAAGCTGTCCTCCTGCCTCAGCCTTCCGAGGAGCTAGGACTACTAAACCATTCTATAAATGCGTAACTGCGATAACTGGCTACCTCTTGGAAAAAAGTAAAGTTAATCCTTCCTTCACATTATACTCCAAAATGACCTGTAGGTGGACCAAATAACTAAATGTTTAAAAAAAAAAAAAAAGAAAAAAAGAGAAAAAGAAAGAAAGAAAGAAAAGAAAAGAAAAGAAAGAAACAACATTAGGAGAAATTTTTTTTAAGTATTTTTATGAGCCAGGCATAGTGACACACCTGCAGTTCCAACTCCTCCAAAGGCTGAGGCAAGAAGATCACTTGAGCCTATGAGTTTGAGGCCAGCCTGGGCAACACAGCAAGACTGTCTCTATTTTATTTTTTCAAAGTGTTTTTATAATCTTGGATAGAAAAGGCCTTTGTATGGGAGACATAAAAACACAGAATCCAGAACAAAACATGAATATCATGTTTTTATTCAATAAATTGAATATCAAAATTTAAAACTATCTGATAAAAAACATCATACAGTGAAAAAGGCAAACAGCAGACTGGGAAAAATGTTTGTCAAATATAAAATAGACAAAAAATTAAAGCCTAGAATATATAAAGAACTATAGATCAAAAAGAAAAAGACAAACAATAGAACAGGCAAAGGATATAGGCAACAATCCACAGAATAAGAAATATATGACAGTAAGAAAGACAAAAAAAAAAAAAAGATTAAATATGTAAAAAGATGCCAACCTCACTAGTAGATAAGAAAATGCTAGTTATTAGTACTGTATGACCCTAGGCAAGGTATTACCAGAACCCACCTCAACCCTGGCAGAAGGATGGCATTAGAATGGCATCTTACCTTTGACTTATAGTAAAGATTAACTCCAGAGATGCGCCTATCTCTTTCCATCAAATTCCATGGATACAAAACATGAGCAATCCTTTTTTCCTTCAAATAAGAGACAATTGTTATTGCAGTTTATAAAAGTGAGTGACCCAATTGATGGGTATTTCGATTTTTAAAGGAGACATTCTAGAGAAATTAATAATCCAAGACCACAATCTCCTAAATAAAATCAGACCACTAAACTTTTGAATTAAGTTGGTGACCATGACTTTTTACACTATCTTAACCAACATGAAATTTTTTTTTTTTAAAGAAATGTCTAGTTGTTGCCTTTCGGGACACTAAGAAACTCAGGTGAAGGAGGACAATCACAAAACCTGAAAGTAAATAAATTTATACTCTGTACTAGAGACGATGTGACGGGTTAGAGGGGAAAATGAATCCCGATGTAAAAAACCAGATCTTGGCTGGGCACGGTGGCTCCCGCCTGTAATCCCAGCACTTTGGGAGGCCGAGGCAGGCAAGATCCTCTGACGTCAGGAGTTCGAGACCAGCCTGACCAACACGGAGAAACCCCGTCTCTACAAAAAGATAAAATAATAATGTAGTCCCAGCAACTCGGGAGGCTGAGGCAGAAGAATCTCTGTTTTTTTTTGAAACGAAGTTTCGTGATTGTTGCCCAGGCTGGAGTGCAATGGTGCGATCTCGGATCACCGCAACCTCCACCTCCCGGGTTCAAGCGATTCTCCTGCCTCAGCCTCCCGAATAACTGGGATTATAGGCATGCGCCACCACACCCGGCTGATTTTGTATTTTTAGTAGAGACAGGATTTCACAATGTTGGTCAGGCTGGTCTTGATCTCCCGACTTCAGGTGATCCGCCCGCCTCGGCCTCCCACAATGCTGGATTACTGGCTTAAGCCACCTCTTCTAATCTACCTTTCCGGGCCCCGAGTCGCTACTCTGCCCTAAGGCCCACTCTGATCCACCCTGAAACTCTGGTTTTCACTAGAGCAGGATGTGTTTTCTACCAAGCTTCGTTTCGCAAGCCTCAGCTTCTAGGCAACCCTACGAAAGGAGAAGGCCGACCTCGGAGAGAGAGTCCACAAGCTGACTGCCTCCCTGCCCCCCATCCTTTTCGGAAATCAGCCCGTGGAGTCGGCCCCGGGGCCCTCAAGCCGCCTTACCTTGCCGCCGTTAGTGAACTTCTGGATGTACGCGGTAGACACTCCTGGAATAAGCAAGCACACGCCCATGGCGGCGAGTCCAGGGAGTATTTCGAACCACATCTCTGCCCTGTTACCTAGGCCAAAACCCTACTTCAAGGTCCTTGAAAGGTGACGGATCTTCGGCTCTCTTCCCAGTAAGCCCCGCGGCCGCCTGCGAGCGAGGCGGTGCCACGTACGGCTCCGGAGGAAGCGACGGAATCCTCCAGGGCTCAAGAGAGGCTAGCGCTCGCGTTCTCGTAGTCCTCTTCCGTCACAGGCTTTTGCTTTGACTAGCGGCGGAGCCCGCGCAACGTGGAGTGACGTGCGGAGACCAAGTGCCACCCAGGCAGACACGGCCGTTTCGGAGCTCGGGACTGTAAAATGGCAGAGCAGCTTTCTCGAGGAAAGACGGCGGATCAGGTGTGCACCTTCCTTTTCAAAAAGCCTGGGCGGAAAGGGGCTGCCGGACGCAGAAAGCGCCCGGCCTGCGACCCAGAGCCTGGAGAAAGCAGCAGCAGTAGCGACGAAGGCTGCACTGTGGTTCGACCGGAAAAGAAGCGGACGACCCACAATCCAATGATACAGAAGACCCGTGACAGTGGTAGACAGAAGGCGGCTTACGGCAACTTGAGCAGCGAGGAGGAGGTGGAAAATGAGCCCGAGAGTCTCGGCGTGGTTTATAAATCCACCCGCTCGGCGAAACCCGTGGGACCAGAGGATATGGGGGCAACAGCTGTCTATGAGCTGGACACAGAGAAAGAGCGCGATGCACAAGCCATCTTTGAGCGCAGCCAGAAGATCCAGGAGGAGCTGAGGGGCAAGGAGGATGACAAGATCTATCGGGGCATCAACAATTATCAGAAATACATGAAGCCCAAGGATACGTCTATGGGCAATGCCTCTTCCGGGATGGTGAGGAAGGGCCCCATCCGAGCGCCCGAGCATCTACGTGCCACCGTGCGCTGGGATTACCAGCCCGACATCTGTAAGGACTACAAAGAGACTGGCTTCTGCGGCTTCGGAGACAGCTGCAAATTCCTCCATGACCGTTCAGATTACAAGCATGGGTGGCAGATCGAACGTGAGCTTGATGAGGGTCGCTATGGTGTCTATGAGGATGAAAACTATGAAGTGGGAAGCGATGATGAGGAAATACCATTCAAATGTTTCATCTGTCGCCAGAGCTTCCAAAACCCAGTTGTCACCAAGTGCAGGCATTATTTCTGCGAGAGATGTGCACTGCAGCATTTCCGCACCACCCCGCGCTGCTTTGTCTGTGACCAGCAGACCAATGGCGTCTTCAATCCAGCGAAAGAATTGATTGCTAAACTAGAGAAGCATCGTGCTACAGGAGAGGGTGGTGCTTCCGACTCCCCAGAAGACCCCGATGAGGATCCAATTCCCATTACTTAGGCTTCCCATAATTCTTAAATTTAAAAAATAAATATTTTGTTCTTTTGGAAGTCTTAATTCGTGTCCTTTTAGAGAAAGTGACAGAAGGCGGGTGGTGAAGTAGGGTCCTGGATTAAAAGCTTCAAGGTAAGTATAATTGGGATTTTTAGCCCTAGAACACTTTGGCATAAATTACAGAGATGGGAGTAGTTTGAGAAAAGAGTTAGAATTTGCTCGAAGTCGGCCGGGCGCGGTGGCTCACGCCTGTAATCCCAGCACTTTGGGAGGCCAAGGCGGGTGGATCACGAGGTCAAGAGATCGAGACCATCCTGGTCAACATAGTGAAACCCCGTCTCTACTAAAAATACAAAAAATCAGCTGGGCATGGTGGCGCATGCCTGTAATCCCAGCTACTCAGGAGGCTGAGGCAGGAGAATTGCCTGAACCCAGGAGGCGGAGGTTGCAGTGAGCCGAGATCGCGCCATTGCACTCCAGCCTGGGCAACAAGAGCGAAACTCCGTCTCAAAAAAAAAAAAAAAAAAAGAATTTGCTCGAAATAACCAAAGCTATGATGAAAGCAAGAACTCTGAGCCTGTTTATTATATCACATTTCCGTATCACTTAATGTTTACCAGGTACTTTCATGCATTCTTTCTCTTAGGAGCCTGTACTACAAAATATATCAGAGCCAAGGTGTGAGGGAGAGGGGTTGGGTTTGGGGGATTGGTAGCTAGTACTGTACCACAGACTTCACGTATGGAAAATGTTCCTTGCTGTCTTGGAAGCAGGTATAGTTAACCCCCCCTTCTATGGATGATAAAAGTGATCTGTGCCCTGCTATCCAGTGTGATAGATAGACACTAGCCTCATGTGGCTGTTGAACACTTGAAACATAGCTAATGACTGTATTGGACATAGCTGTTGTAGACTGAACTCGTGAACCTGCAGGGGGCAAAAACAATATTTTATCATCAATTCCCTGAAACTATCTGTGTTCTCACAGACTGTGTAATAGCGCTGATCATGCCTTATTAAAATTAGTCAGTGTACCTGTCTTTCCAACTGGTTTATGAACTCAGTGACTAGCCTAGTGCTTGGCATATGATAAGCACTTAAATAAGCCTAGGGAGGTTTACAAAGAGAGATTGGGGGCCGGGTGCGGTGGCTCACGCCTGTGATCCCAGCACTTTGGGAGGCTGAGGTGGGCGGATCATGAGGTCAGGAGTCCTAAACCAGCCTGACCGATATGGTAAAACCTCATCTCTACTAAAATTACAAAACTTAGCCGGGCATGGTGGCACTTGCCGGTAGTCCCAGATACTCGGGAGGCTGAGGCAGGAGAATCGTTTGAACCTGGGAGGCGGAGGTTGCAGTCAGCTGAGATTGTGCCACTGCACTCCAGCCTGGGCGGCAGAGTGAGACTCCATCTCAAAAAAAAAGAGAAATTGGAGCCAAAGCCTTGAATCCAAGCTGAGGAGCATTGACTGTATTCTGTAGGCAGTGGGAGAGATAGCAGAGATTTGGGAAGAGAACACAATCAGACTTGGGTTTTTCTTGTTTGTTTTTATAGTGTTACTGTCTTGGGCTCTAGGTTGGATCACAGGGAGATGGAAGACAAGAGGCAGGGAGGCCAGTTAGGCCAAATGATTTTTTTTTTTTTCAGTCTCCATAGAGACTGTCAAAAATTGCCAATGCTGACTATATTTCAAGTCATCATGGCGGGGTATTGGGAAAAGTTTTCAATTAGCAATAATCACGCCTCGGATAAACCTCATTGGCTACAATACTGCCACTGTGCAAAGCTAGGCCAAATGATTTTTATTGATATGATTCGAATTGGGCTAATCCTAAGAACAAATGCAAGAATAAATTCTGGGTCAATGGTTTTTATTCACATTAATCCATTTAAAGTTTTTTTTTTTGGAGACCGAGACTTGTTCTGTTGCCCAGGCTGAAGTGCATTGACGGGATCTTGGCTCACTGCAACCTCTGCCTTCCGGGTTCAAGTGATTCTCCTGCCTCAGCCTCCCGAGTGGCTGGGACTACAGGTGCGCACCACCACGCCTGGCTAGTTTTTGTATTTTTAGTAGAGATGGGGTTTCACTATATTGGTCAGGCTGTTCGTGAACTCCTGACTTCGTGATCTGCCCTCCTTGGCCTCCCAAAGTGCTGGGATTACATGTGTGAGCCATCACACCCGGCCTAAAGATATTCTTTGAGTAGCTACTCTTTATCAGGCACTATGCTTGGTATGGGGGATATTAGCAGTGAACAAGACACACAGCCCCTACCCTCATGGAGCTGGACATTAAATGACTGTTCATTTCCGAGACAGAGCCTCACTGTGTCACCCAGGCTGGAGTGCAGTGGTGTGATCTCAGCTCACTGTAACCTCTGCCTCCCAGGTTCAAGTGATTCTCCTGCCTCAGCCTCCCAAGCTGGTCTCGAACTCCTGACCTCATGTGATCTGTCCACCTTGGCCTCCCAAAGTGCTGGGAACGGGTATGAGCCACCATGTCCTACCCGTTTTGTTTTTTTTAAAATTACAAATAGGGTCTCCCTATGTTGCCCAAGCCGGTCACAAACTCCTGGCTTCAAGCAATCCTCCCACCTCAGCTTCCTAACTCACTGGGATTACAGGCGTGAGCCACATACCTGGCCTAGAAAAGCGTTTTGCAAAGTGTCATGAGCTTCATAGAGCTTCAGACAAGAAAGAAAGAAATGAAAAGTGTCATGGAGGCGAGCCACAGTGGCTCACGCCTGTAATCCCAGCATATTTGGAGGCCGAGATGGGAGGATCACTTGAGGCCAGCCAGGAGTTGGAGACCAGCCTGGACAATAGGGAAACCTCCGTCTCTACAAAAAAAAAAGCAAGCAAAAAATTTCGCTGGGTGTGGTGATGTGCACCTGTAGTCCCAGCTACTCAGGAAGCTGAGGTGGAAGGATCCCTTGAGCCCAGAAGATTAAGGCTGCAGTGAGCCGTGACTGTGCTACCACACTCCAACCTGGGTGACAGACCCTGTCTCAAAAAAAAGAAAAGAAAAAAAATATGGCAATGAGTAGCAAAAGAACCAGAAAAATTGTTCATTTTTTTTTAACCATTTCTGAGAATTTATACTAAAAAAGTTATTCAGGGTTGGGTACAGTGGCTCATGCCTGTAATCCCAGGACTTCAGGAGGCCAAGATTAGAGGATCACTTGAGCTCAGGAGTTCGAGACCAGCCTGGGCAACATAGCAAGACTCCCATCTCTAAAAAATAAAAATAAAAAAAGTTATTCAAAAGTAGAATCTGAGTCACGGCACCAAAAAATAAAAAAATTTTTTTAGGTAGAATACAGCTTTATGGAAAAAGATATGCTTTGAGTTGTTATCTATTATATAAGCTGAGAGAAAAGGTCCAGGAGAAAACACAGATGATAAAAGGTGAAAGAATGCTGCTGATGAGTAACTTCTAGGAGGTAGAACAGAAAAGCGACAGAATTAAGAGCATAAATCGGTCTTGAAGAGTTGAGATGGCAAGAGAAAGATGACATTTGTGTACTACTCCACATGACATTTTTGAATAATGCTTGTCTGTGAATCTTCTTGTTTGTTTGTTTGTTTTGAGACAGAGTCTCACTCTGTCACCTGGGCTGGAGTGCAGTGGCGAGATCTTGGCTCACTGCAACCTCCGCCTCCCAGGTTCAAGTCATCCTCCTGCCTCAGCCTCCCAAGTAGTTGGAATTACTACCAGGCATGCACCACCATGCTCAGCTAATTTTTTGTATTTTTAGTAGGGACAGGGTTTCATTAAATTGACCAGGCTGGTCTGGAACTCCTGGCCTCAAGTGATCTGTCTGCCTTGGCCTCTCAAAGTGCTGGGATTACAGACATGAGTCACTGCACCCTGCCTTGTCTGTAAATTTTGAAAAAATTTATACAAAGTACTTGCAAATGAGCATCATTCTGGGGTCCAAAGCATTCAGCAGATTCTTAAAAGGGACCATAACTCCATAAAAGCACCTAAATCAATAGTGTACTCAAAGTACTTTCATGTTTACAAGCTTATGATTACATTTTCTACACGTCAGGAATATTTTCATAACCTTTAATTAAATGGTACAACTTCATTTCATAGGTGGGAACGAAATAGTTATTCTTACAATTTAAAAGAAACTAAATAGGTGGAGGGAAGCAAGCACTCCAGCAGAGATAAGGTTGCAGCTGGACTGTAAAGGAGCTCACCTAATTTGAGAAGTCAGGGCTCCTACGTCTCCCCTAGGAAATGAGCCTCAAACTGAGACTCAAGAAGTGATTTGGACAAAGAGTATCTCAAGTAGAGGAACAAGTATATACTAAGTCCCTGATGTGAGAGACTACCTCCAGCTAAAAACTCAAAGCAGTTTAAGGTGGCTGGGGAAAAGAGACCTTGCAAGTCATGTTAAAGACTTTAGACTTCATCTGAAGAGCAAAAATGCGCCATCAAAGCATTATAACGGCCGGGTGCAGTGGCTCACGCCTCTAATCCCAACACTGGGAGGCCGAGGTGGGTGGATTACCTGAGGTCAAGAGTTCGAGACCTGCCTGGCCAACATGGTGAAACCCCGTCTCTAGTAAAAATACAAAAAATTAGCTGGGTGTGGTGGTGGGAGCCTTTAATCCCAGGTACTCGGGAGGCTGAGGCAGGAAAATCCCTTGAACCTGGGAGGTGTAGGTTGCAGTGAGCTGAGATTGCACCACTGCATTCCAGCCTGGGAGACAGAGCGAAATTCTGTCTCACAAAAACAAAACAAAAAAAAAAAAGTTGGGGGGAGGATTAAGAAGGAAAATGAGATGATCAGATTTGAATTTCAAAAGATAATTCTGAAGAGTGGGGAATGGGTTGAAGGCAACCAGACATGAAACAGGGAGGTCAGTTATGGGGGTGGTGTACTGGTCCAGGTGAGATGATGGTAGACTAGACTAGACTGGTGGCTGTGAACAAACTTGTCTTGATCACCCACTACATGACAGGCATTAAACACTGGAGATACAGCCATGACAAAAGCACACAAGTCCCTGCTGTCATACTTACATGAAGTAAACACAGTAGCTCTAC